TGAAATTCTATGAAACATTCCTCAATAGAATACTTCCATATTCCATCAATCTTGCGTCCATTTCTAAAGTAGGACTCTATGATAAACACTTTTTGTTCTCGAGAAAACACCATTTTAAACGCTTTTTAAAACGAATATATTCAAATTGATAGCGGCGATATAGCGCTTTGACAGATGACGTTTAAGTTCATTTGCTATACGCTACGTCCTACGTCCAAATTTTCAGAACCAACTTGACCAGGTTTTTATTTGAACGCTCGTTATAATACTGATTGCATGCACTGCAATGACATCAAAGACTCCAAAAACCAGCATATTATTTTGCTGGCTCGCACAAAAGCAAATAATCTTCTCCAGAAAGTAATTAACGAACTGCTTTTTCGACATGATATTTCCCAATAGACGGTAAATTATTCGAATAAAAACTTTGCTGTGCTTTGATATCCAACAACTGTGGTTATTAAAATGAACTTCACTACCACATATATCGGCGAAATTGACTGAACCTTTAAGTTGGATTCTTTAGAATCTACTCTGAAACTTAAATTGACTTTGTACTAAACAGAACCATAACGGGAAAGCTTTAGGACGACCAGGGCTTTGCTATTTGTCCGTCTGAGAAATACCAACTCTACAAAACTTTTGAAAATTGTTAAGCGCTTAATAAATGCATGTAAATTTATTTATTTAGAACTTTTAGAACTTAACAAACACAAGACTTTATTTTTTTCACCCCATTAAAAAAATACTGTTGTTTATTGTTATTGTATACATACCTCAAACTAATTTATTCAATTTCTTTATTTCCATTAGACAATTTACAAATTGTATTGGAATTGTCAATCAAAGTGTAAAAGCTACATAAAATTGGTAAATACTAATCACACAAAATAATACTTTAACGAACAACAAAGACACATATTATACATCAAAGTATTCGTTAACATCACAAAATCCTTTGTATACTAAATGCTGCTTTAAGCGCTTTTTAAATAGTCCAGTCGATGAGCAACTTTTTAGTTCAGAAGGCAACTTATTGTACATTTTAAGACCTAAGTAATTGGCAACATTTAACCTACAAGCAAATTTTGATTTGTATATTATACTGATTATTAAGCATTAAATAGTAATACAACCCCAAAATTTCCTGATTTAATATTAAATCGTTTTGAAGTTATGAAATAAAAACTATTTCCTGAGTTACCCCTTCAAGGGGCTGTATCTCCCTTAGCGGCCGCCACTGACAAAAACTACTAAGGTTTTCATCATATTCCGACATGTTTTACATACTCTCCAATTTTGAGTACTTATTTCGTAAACACCTTGTATATCTAGACTATCGCAATTCCTATTACAATTTTACCGGAAAATGGTAGATAATTAAAATGTAATATAAAATTTTGACACTTTTTTTCACCACAAAAAGAGGCACGTATTTAGTTATTACTGTTATTAGTTTGTTTGATATTCTTTGAACCTATTAAATACAATCCATACATATTTCTTGACATCAAAAATTATTATAAGAAAAAAGGAAGTCTGTCATGTGAAGTGTTTCAGGATTAAGTCCACAAACTTCCAAGGACATATTCCTCACGTAAATATAAGTAAAAACTATTTTATAAACTTTTCGAAATAATCTTTAAGATTGAGAATATTAACGATCTCGCAAAACTATAGTAAAACTTTAGTAAAATCTTTGCGTTATTTCTCCACCATATTTTTTATCACTTTTGTGTTCTTATGTTTGAAATCGACAGCAATTTGTATATAATAGGAGTTTCACCTCACATAGTTTTCCAGTATTATTCGGTGTTCCACAAGGATCAATCTTGGATACATTCCCATTCCATTTATTTATCAACAACATTGTCAAAAGTTTAAATGTACTTCATCTTTTATATGCGGATGAGATAAAGACTTATTTAAATATAAAAACTGTACAGGACTATATCGTGCTACGTCTACAACCTTAATAGGTTGAATCTCTTGTCTGGGTTAAATAAATTACCCGTAGTTATGTAATATACCTGACAAACTATAATTCGTGAATGTGTTAATTAAGGATGAGCTAATATGTGGCAATTTCTACTGTTTTGTGATAATTTGTATTATGCATTTCTCTCACACCGTATTGGTGTCTGTATTTAAATAAATAGCTAAGTGAATAAGAACTCAGTTATCTGTATTTCCTATTTCACTTTTCACTGGCGTTCATTTCAATTCACTGCGTATTAAGGGATGAGAAAGAGCAACCGGCACGGAATCCATCAAAAACCAACTACACCCTGCGCAAACATTTCAGTATAGTTGACCCGACAATCGAAAACATATCAGGTAATGCGACGGCAAACAGATCAACACTTAACAAAACATTATCCTGTTCGATGCAGCGATATACCACCGGAGAAATCTAGGCTACAAAGTTCTCAGATTTTGTGGCGCCCTCTGGTAGGAAAAACAGCGGGCTTTGTAGTGGTATATCTCCCTGGATCGTGGAAATGTCGCATTGCATGATGGATGGACCATTTCCCATCGATAAGGATGCCATGGTCGGACTGGGAGATTATGTGCTGTAATTTCCATGTTAGTATACTGCAAGATACAAACTAGGGAAATGAGTTCGACTTACGGTGTGTCCCGATGCTGATTTCAGAAAAAAATTTATTCTGCTTGAGATACACAACCTGATAAATTTTTACAACCATACTTTTTTTAATAGTTTTGGTTTATTACCCAAAAATATTACAAAAAAAAAAGATTAGTTAACATTTTTGATGATTTAGAATAACAAAATCACATCAGACTAAAATGTGTTTCTATTAATCAACCATAAACAATGAGTCAATGAATTAAATATAGTATATTGTTATATTAGGATTAAAGTTACTTTTGTGGCGAGGACATTTTGTATTTGCGAGGCGAAGCGTAGCGAAGCCAAGCGGATGCAAAATTGAGAGACAAGACAATACTTTTGTTGCTAAGATACCATTTTTTTCTGACAGTCAAAAAACGTCGTAGTTTTGTAGCGGTTGGAGAAAAATATTGAGTTTTAACAATAAAACTTAGTTAAATTTTTAATGCTTTCATTAAAACATTTTCCCCTGAAAATCCCGAACGGAAGACAGAAACTTCGATGTTCCTGAACCTTATATTTTATATTTAGCAAACAACCGAAGTAATCTACAGCGTTACTTTATACCTACACCGAATCTCCCGCAATGAATTTTTTCTCAGCACTTTAATTGTATTAGTTTGTAGCCGAGGCCTTTTCGGACTTACTTTTTAGCTCGAGCCAAATTAAAAGATATAAGCCGAGAGCTTAATGAGTTTACAATTTCAAGTGTGCAGCTTAACGACCTTTGACGTTATCGGATTACATCGGTTTTTGGGATAATTGAACGTTAATGATCTTAATGGAAATTTTAGGACTGGGATTTGAATGGGAATCAAGCCGGAGTCGATTGCTGGACTGATATATTAGTTTTTTTCCCTGCCTTAGTGTTCTAACCAATTAGATAACTAATTTTATCAGTTTGCACCAGTTACAGAGTGTTGAAAAAAAAAAATCAAATATAATTCGGTAGTTCTATTTTGAATACTATTGAAATATTGGAGAAATGTGTGTCCATTCTTCTGCTTTTGGCTTAGAAATTCTGCTGTTTTCATTGACAATTCCTATTTTTGTCACTGGTTGACATATTTGTATACCAATTTTATTAAACTACTTACCCAAATTTCGAGGCTGTACTTAAAATATCTTCAGAAATATCTGAAATATATTATATTTTCCTTAATCTTTAACATCCTGCATCTCAGAAACCAGAATTTAAAAACTTATTTAATACTTTCCAACAACAGAACAGTTTATTTCAAATAGTACTAAGTAATCAAGCAGAGCACTATAAATGTCTAAAACTATAGCCAGAATAATTATGCCTTCATATAATACCTGAAAGTTGTCATAATTTATTTTCATTTGATAATTCTATACATCTCCCACGACTAATTCTTCTCGATCTTACACTGAAGTGGATTTTCACGTAATAAATCGGAAGATTAAACATTATACCCATTTCGTGAAGCGAAAGCTATTTTCTCGGGGATCTTTATATAAAAAAAAGATTTAGCGGATGAATCGCGTGTATGATTTATATACTTCTTTCTCTGCGGTTAGCCAGTGGACTTCGAATAGGCCTCACGCCATAAATTTCGTAATATAAATTATTTCGGACCCGCTACGTATCTGAGAGGGGTGGGCCAATCGAGCTGATTATAAAGAGGACTAATTTTTTAAAAGGGAATTACAGAAAAAGCCGTTATCAAGAAACAACATTTGTGAATTGTTGTTTATAATATTTTGGAGGAAATATAATTTTTAAATTGAACATTCGCTGTTTAATTCCTTAGAGTATCTGTCCTGAAAAATAATATGCATTCTCCACTGTCAAAATCGAAGGCATTATTAACAATTAGATGCCTACGATATGTAAAAAGTGCAAGGAATGCAATTCCATGGGAGTAATGACTCTACTGCCTACCATTTTCACACTAGAGTACAATATTCTACGCAACAGATTTTGCGCAATTGAGTTCAGATTGTCCAGCACATATTAATTGACCTTTCGATGTCTATAATTTCGTTAGACGTGACAATTTGCCTTATTATAGCCCTCTAAAAGCGATTTATCCCCAATTCTAACATCATAATAAGAGACATCCTCAATCAATATGTCTAGACTTTATTGGCAAGACGTCTTTGCGTTCTAAACGATAACAGCAAAAATTATTTCTCCAGATATAGTGTGTGAGTAACATATTGCGTTCGAAACGGTGGATACGTAGTTAGGCTTCAAAACAGAAAAAGCGTCCAGTACAAAAATATTTTATTACAAAACCAAGTCACATTTTCCTTGTGTACGTTTGCCTGAACTAATTTCTTAACACACCGCATTGTTTCGGGAGAAACAACGGGAATGATAAAGTTAATTAAGTCCTACCTTTTTGCTGGAGTGTTTGTGATATCTGGCGGGATGCAGCATGCAGAGGTACCTGTCCATGGCCATACAGATTAATATCACAGCGCTCTGTTGACTTATTGCGCCCCTCAGCAGCGCCTGAAAGTAAATAAATTTTCATTTACAGCGAGGAGAAAATTCCTTATGAATAGTCGGGAGCGTAGAAAGTCTTAAGGGAATTTTAATAACAATGGTTACCGAAATGCTTTTAAAACTTAAAATTAATTATAAAGAATAATAGCGTTTTAAATATTGTGTGAGATTTATTCGTAAATTTATTTTGAAAGGAAAATAAGAGGAATAGATTGAAATAGATGCTGCAATATTCCATCATCAACGGTCTAATATATGGCATATGGTCCTAAATATTATATTTTAACTTAAAACTATTCAATAAAGCACATAAAAAATATAACGCCGAATTTTAGCATTCTAAGTAATAAATGATGAAAGGGTAACATTTTAATAAGTACCTACTTAATATTTAACAATATAAAAAAATTCACTGGGTGTCAAAATAAGCGTCAATACCGCCACAATAAAAAAAATCTACGGGACTTAATGCATCGTAGTTCTAAAACTTCTCAGATTATCTCGAATAGTAATTAATTTCTACATTTACTTCATTGATTGTCAAAATAGGCGAGCGATTCACCCCTAAATGAAGGTAACCGACTAAATTTTTAAAACAAAAACCTACAGCATGAAACTTTTTTTATTTTATAAATTTAAATTTATATCTGGAAAGTACTCGGAATGACAAACCTATTAGTTCAAAAAACAGCCCTTATACCATTATAGTTTTGCTGTAAATAGGGGCTAACTTTAACGGGTTATAACTCCGAAAATAATGGGCGGATCAACAGGTTTTTTTTTAAATACTCGTCTCCCACTATTTTCAAACCATATTTTAAAATTAAAAAAAAAATAAAAAAAACATTAAATTATTGCAATTGTTTATAAGCCTGAAAATTGCGAAAATGTTTAAACAATCACCACGGCTCACCTAACCGTCCGATTAGAATTTTTCAAAACCCATTTTAAAGCTTGAGAGATCTTCTTTTTGTGGCGAAATTTTCAAGTATTCAAAAGCTTTAGATTTTTAGAAATTTGATTTTGAAAATTTTTTAATTTAAAAAAAATAAAAAATTATTATGTAAAAACTATAGAACCGAATTTTGGTGTGATGATTCTATGCACTAAGAAGTTTAATTGGGAAAAATATGAAGATCCTAGGTATTATTCAAATTGACAAAAAAACTTGCATTTTTTTGCAATTTTTTAAATGATTTTACCGCTTTTTGCAATAACAATAATTATTTTTTCGAATTGCAACTTACTCTATCTTATTCCAAATTTAATTACAAAACCTTTTTTTCCTCTTCCATTTTTGTCTAAAATGAATAGTTGCTAAGTTGTCGACGAGAAATCCAAGAAAAAAATGAATCTTTTTGCTATTTTTTATACTTTTTTGCAATAACAATTAAGCCCACATTTTTTTTTATTTGCATAGAAAAATTATCATTTCTGATGTTATTTAGAAGCCGTTATTTTTTAGTAGCCGATGTTATTTATTTTATGACGATAATTTCAGTATCGTAAGTGAACTTTTTTTTAATATAATTTTTGGCCGGTAATTTTGTCGATGGAATATTGCAATATTTTGTTTAAAAACTAAACAACAATTTCCAATTTGTAGTCCTATTTTTTTGTTATAAATTATATCTCAACTTCCTTTACAAAAATTCTAAACTCAGTTACGGAATCAAAAGAGTTAAATTATTCTCACTGTTTGTCTGTTTGTCAAATATCTGCTTTGATATAAAAATAGGTTTATTTCAACTCATTTGATACTGGCCTAGTTTCCTCTGTAACAAAAGCTTACATATTTATAGAATTGTATTATTTCGATGGAAGTACATGTCAATATCAACTTCAAATATTATAGTTCTGTATTTAACATAGTAAGTGGCATTTCGGTCAACCTCATTTAAAATCGTGTTTTACATATTTTTATTTACTTCAATGTATAAATGAACTTTAAAAATAATCCTAGTTATTTCTAGTTCTATATTTCTATTTTTAGATTTAGTTGGTAGTGATAAAAATAATATAATACTTCGTAACCAACTCTGACATTGCTGACATGTTTCTAATATTTATATCTCGCACTGCAGAGCGTTTTTAAAAAGCATTTGCAACATTTCCCTCAACTGTGCCTTCACATCGCTGTTCGTCATCAAATTTTACACGTTGTTAACCATGATTGATTATATTTTTACTAAATGTAACATCCCCCAAAACGCAACATTTACGGAGATGTATTAATCAGAAGCGGGATACGGAATACTTGACACTTGCGCCATCATGTGGGAGTTATGTGTATAAATATATGTAGCAGGTACTGAAATCCCTAAGATATATCGACAAATCTTATAAAAAGTCTCGCTATACGTCAACTTATGAAATATTTTTAAAATTATTTCTGATCTCATAAATTTAACTAGAAAGATTTTAACACGTAGAACTTAAAAATTTAGATTTTTATTTATAGAATGCAAAATGTTACTTCAAAGAAAATATTTACGATTTATCGAGAATTTCTTTATTGAAGTTTAATCTTTTTTTTAGAGAACCTTAAGCGCGTCTTTTATCCCACCTTTTACTTCTAAATCAGTATAAGAAAAATTTGATTTGAATTCTTTTTAAACTGTAACGAATTTCACCTTTTTATGCTTCTGTCATTCCAATTTCATTAGAACATGAAAGGTGGCTGGTATTTTTACCAGACTGAAAAGAAATGTAATATATTTTCATGCAGCAACATTCTACTAGAATTTCTCTAAAGTGGACATTCTATTGATTTGCTGGACCGACATGAAACTGTTTTTCATGTCCTTTGTGTTCAATTTGGTGCGATAGATCTTTTTTTCATAAAAAAACCGTATACACTGAAATTAATATGTGATATTTCTTTTACTGTACGAAGTTATGTATTTGTGGCATATTTGTTTCTATTTTCTGCTTATTTTATATTTCTTTTACATTGGAAAATACATTATTCAGTTGTATTTTATTATTATTATCCTGTGTATGCTGTGCTATTATTTTTCACCTTATCAGGAGAATGACTTTGAAGATAATTAACAAAATATTTATCGTCTAATGGTTTTATTCTCCACAAATTATAATCACAGGTTACAATTAATTCAATATTACTATTTGTCACTCTATACTGGGTTAATAATAGTTATTACAAAATGGTACATATGTATGACATGATGATTGTTAATCTACAGCGAATGCTATCAAAACGCTACAGGGGCACTTTCCCAACGTCATGCATCAATACAAAGGCAAACGGGTCATTTTCGCAAAAGAAATTGTAATAATCCATCACGAAACTGGTGTCACATGATGAACAGCATTTTAATGAGTTCCTTTCTAAATAGTTTACGTAGTGTGACTACCATTTCAATTTGGAATGTTCCGGATACACAACGCGACGTTTGAAAAATGATCTTTTTTAGGGAATATACTTTGACGACTCGCAACAAACTAGCATGTCATTAATTTTATTCACGATCTAGTTGCACGCTAAAACGATAACCCGGTAGTCGGAATGTGTCATTCATATTTTATGTCCATTTCCGGTATACAGGATCAGCCATTAACAGTAGTCTTTAAAGGAATTTTTAGAAACAATAAAAAGGGTGTTAAAACTGGAACATAAAATGTCTCATTATTTAATGAATGTTTGAAACATCGGTAAAATTTTAGGTAATTTGGTGTAATTTAAATAATGATTTAGTTAACAATTTAGTTGCATTCTAAAAAATTTATAGGTCAACTTACTGGCTTAAATGTATGAAAAATATGTCTCGTTAATCCTAGACTCAAAGCGAGGAAACGAACAAGCAAATTATGTAAATATTGTTCAGCAAGTGGAGCAAGAGTTGAGCGCTTAACCATATATTGTACTACTTATATTTAACACAGGGCACAATGACGCTTTATGTATGCGACTGAACCTAGCTCAAAAGGACACGTAATTTTATTACATTCATATTAAAATTAATCTCAAAGCCTAGTACATACATAGAAGAGAGGAATAAATGGCAAATTTTCAGGATTCGTTTGCCTAAATCAGACAATGGTGTTTTTAATATACATAGCAGTTATACTACTTTGAAATAAAGTGGGTTGCATGCGTACTGTACGGGGTGATTCATAACTTATGCAAAAAAAGGATATATGAGCCATAAAATAAGAGCAACAATTAATTTTATTAATATAATAACAATAGCGGCAAAAGCAGTTAAATTTGTTATAAAATTTTATTTATTTATTTTTTTCATTGCGCAAGATCAGGTTTTACAGTGGACCAGTTTCCAGTGCCGTATAGAAGTGAACTTTTAAATCATTTTCGAAGTGCTCTTTTTGTTTTTTTTTTACAAAACTGTATTTATTTGTAAGGATCCCCTGTTAATTCAAAAAATGTTTTGGATAATTTCTGAATCACGCTGTATTTGTAAACCAACACCATAAATTTTTACCGTTATTAATTAATTAATTGATCTTATGTCAAATGCCTTTAGAAATATATTTATGAATATGGTGTATCTTCAAAAGTGAAATAAAAGTCTTGTACTAACACTTTTAAAGTGACCTTAGAAAAAATTTCCCGTATGATACAAACTTACAAACTACCCTGTATTTAGAATATAACGTTGTATAAACAATCATAATCGATATGACAATTGAACTAAAGTATTTTTACGAATTAAATTTAAACTAGTCAATTCAAATTGAACCATTTTCGTATAATTGTTTCCTTGTAATTTCCTACGCATACGGCTGTACTTTCTTTTGTGATCGAATCCGGCAAGTCAGTGTCCGCGCGGTAAAAAATCTGCGCCCCCATCGGGTCTCTATTGAAACTAATGCCCTACAAATGGCGGCGATTTTTCACTCACAGGCACTGCACCGAAAAATATATCTCGATCTGGATCCTTCTTCATCCGGCGACCGAAGGCAAAACGTGAATTCTCTTAACGGGCAAGAATACATCACTCGGGAATACAAAATAAAAAAGAAGT